ACAGAGCAGGGCTGTGGGGCCTGGACCCCAGAACCAGTGTCAGCTCATCTCACAGAGCAGGGCTGTGGGGCCTGGACCCCAGAACCAGTGTCAGCCCGTCTCACAGAATGGGGCTATAGGTCTGGACCTCAGAGAGAGTCTGGGCAAGAGTGCTGCTACTCTGGTCTCTTAGAAGAGACAGGTTCACAGCACTTTCAGGGTCAGCCTCAAGTCCGAGTGAAGACTTCCCACCCTGTGTATACTTGGGTACTGTGCCCACCCAATCCTGGGCTTGTTCCAGGCCACAGTTAGTTCACAGATTGTGGAATACTAAGTCTAGGAGGTATGGGTCCAATACACAGCTTCATGCTGGCTCACTCCTGTGGACAGTAATGCCTGTCCTCCCATGGGGTGACACCCACCTGTGACCCAGGGTGGCCCCTCAGGCCTGCTTCCTCCTGTGCATGTCCCCACAGGAGAGAGGCAGGAAAGCCTCTCAGGGTGAACCTCCTTGTCCCTCTCCACACAGATGGCCTTCCGGCCTGTCCTGGTCTTTTTGCCGTGGACCTGCAAACCCTTCACCTCCCTCCCACTCTGTCCTGCCTGTGTTGAGTGAGAGGACTAAGAAGTCAGGGTTATGATCTGGCAAAGCTCAGGACAGAGGCGAGACATACCTTGGGCAGCAGGCCGAAAGGTCCCAGGAACAAAAATATAAAAGGAAGAACCCTGGCCCGTGAAGACAGCAGACTAAATATTCAGACAAGCGAGGAGGCCAACACAGCATATGTCTAGCACTTGTGAGGCCATGGATTTGGGTCCCAGCACGGAAAAAATAATTAGCAAAGTACCCAAGTAGCCAGGAGCTCAACATGACCTGTCAGTTGTGTGGTGTCCAGCGAAGCAGGACAATGTGCATGGCACAGGGCCGGTCCTGTCAGTTGGGTCCTCGCACCTGTATGGGTGGCTGTGAGTTGTACTGGGCATTGCTGTCTTCCCAAAACCCAACAGGTAGGCGTCAGAGGCCTAGAGGGCAAGCTGCGGGGACAGAAGATGGGAGCCAGACCGAACGTGGAAAGTGATGTAGGGGTGAGAGTCAGCAAGTGACATGACTGACCAGGTCATGTTGAGCTCCTGGCTTTGGGCTCCACCATCAGGAGCATTGCTGCCCACCTTAGGAGGCATATACTAAAAACATCTCCATTTTCAACTTCGTAAGGGTATATTTTACCCAATTATTGGGTCTAATGTGAATTCACACATTTATATTGCTGCCCACGGTGGAGTCTCAATTCTCAGGTGGCTTATCGTGTCACTTCTTTGTGCCAGTGGTGATGTCTGCTAAGTTTTCCCTGACACAGCCACTGTACTTGGGCTAAAGCCCCAAAGAACCTGACATCCTTGGAAGAGACAGGAGCTAAGTGACGCCGAAGATTCCAAGCACTTGACGCCCCTGTGAGCACTGTTGCCGAGACGAACCCACACTCACTGCTGGAGGGGGCGCCAAACAGCACGGCCGCTGCGGAAGAAGGCATGGTACTCCTGACAGCAAACAGACTCTGACCATATTGTCCAGCAGCTGTGCTCCTTGGTGCTTACCCAAATGGTTGAAAACTCATGTCCACACAAAACTTGTACATGGGCATTGATAGCAGCTTTATAGACAATTGTTGAAACCTGGAAGTACAAAATCGTCTTTTAGTAGGGGAATGAATTGGTGCACCCAGAAAATGGAATATTATTCAGCACTGAAAATGAAAGGAGCAGTCAAACCATGAAAAAACATGAAGGAACTTTAAATACGTATACTAACTAGAAGAAGTTAATCTGCGTGCCATATGATTCCAACAATGACATTCTGGAAAAATCAAGATTGTGGCGACAGTAAGATGGCCATGGTTGCCAGGAGGTCGGGGAGAACTGAGAGGTCACAGAGGAATCTCAGACCAGTGGACAGTTGCAGTGAAACTATTCTGTGTGATGTTGCAGTGGTGGCTGCATGTCATTATATACTTGCCCAAACCCACAGCATACGCAGCACCAAGTATGAACCCTGGAGTAAACTATGAACTTTGGATGACAGTGATGTATGAATGTGGGTCGATTTTAACAAATGTAGCACTGTAATGTTGGAGGCCTGTGACTGTGGGGAGGACAGAGGGGATGTGGGAACAATGTATGTGCTGTTCAGTTTTGCTGTGAATCTAAAACTGCCCTAAAAATAAAGTCTAGGGGTTAGCAGAGTAGCTCAGAGGTAAAGTGTTTGCCTGGGCTCTGGGTTCATTCTCCAGGAATGCAAAATGAAACAACCAAAGCAAGTCTGTTTTTAAAAAACTGTCAATTTTTACAAAAAATGCTGAGCTTTTGATTGGGATTATATTGAACATGTAAGTTTGAGCAAAAGGCCATCTTTGCCACATTGAATCTCTCAATCCATGAATGTGGTATATTTCCTTATTTTTGTTCTTAGATTTTTTAAAGCAATGTTTTATATTTTTTATGCACCTTTTGTAAATCTGGTGAGTTGATTTTTCATGCCATTATAAGTAATACTTTAAAAATTTTTTGTCCACAATTTATTGGTGTAGTAATAGAAATCTAAGTAATTTAGCTTGCACTGATTTTGTGTGTATCACACTATGGATCAAACCCAGAACATCATGCATGCTAGGCAAGTGTTCTACTAATGAGCCACTACTGCTTTTTTTGAGACAGGGTCTTGCAAAGTTGCTGAGCTGACCAGACTGGGCTTGAATTTGTGATCTTCAAGCCTCAGCCTCCCAGAGTGCTGGGATTACAAGTGACTGCCACCACACCCAGCCTGCATTGATCTTTTTGTTTGTTTTTTTGTTTTGTGTTTTTTGGGATTTTAAAAACTTTATTTATTTATTCATTTATTTTTGAAACAGGGACTCACTGTGTAGTTCAGGCTAGCTTTAAACTCACTATGTAGCCCAGGCTGGCCTTGAACTTGTAGCAATCCTACTGCCTCAGCCTCCTGAGTGCTGGAATTACAGGCGTGCGCCATCACGCCGGGCTGGCACTGACCCTGTATCCAGAGAACCTGATGAATTTACTGGTCAGTGGTTGCCAGGAGGTAGCCAATTTCTAGCAATCACCAGCTGAACATAAATACATCTGTACTTTTTCCTATTCAGTATTTATGTCTTCTTACTTTTTTCTTGCCTTATTGCACTTAGGACCTCCTAATTAGTGTTGAAAAGATGGGATTTTCTCCCAGTTATTTTGAAAATTTTAGAATCTAGAGAAGCTGAACAAGTAGTAGTAGAGCCATATATTAAGCAAGTGTCACCATCTTGCCATATTTACTCACTTGGTGTCTATTTTCTGAAAGCATATAAATAAGATACATATTATTTGAACTGTTTGAAAGTAAATTGTCCATACTGTGACACTGCCTAATTTCATCATGTTTCTTTTCATTTTATACAGTGTTATATATTTTTATTTTGAAA